CAAACATTGTATGCACATACGAATAAAAAACAAAACAAAACAAATTAACTACCCATAAATATTTCCTTCTCTGCAAAACAAAAACAAAAACAAAAAACAAACAAAAAAAACCTGGGAAGATATGCTTTGCATCTAGATTCTCACTACTCTTCATTCATGCTGTTTAGAATGAGCCTGAACAGTACTACAGTACACGGCATATAACTGATGACTTCAAAATTCTAGCACTCAATGTAAGATTACTGAAAGATAGGGTTTCAAATGACTTACACTGACAAAAGCACAGAAAAGATTTTCAGAAAACAAAGTGAATGCATGGCAAAGATGCAAAATTTAAATTACACTCCTTACAAGCAAGATTAGGATACTAATTAAATATACAAATTTATATAAGTATGTGACTTAATCCTAACTCAGTAATCACATGCAACCTGAGCCCTACTGGGGCATCAGGGCATTTGCTTTGGTATATGATGTGATTAACTTTGAGTTTTTTATATGAAAACTTATTTTTATGAACTTTAAAAAATATGGCTTAGCCACTAAATTAATGTCATATTTACAAGTACCATATTATTATAGTTATCCCCCACCCAGTTTAACTCATGAAAAAAATCAGAAAACAGTATGGAAAATAAGTGCACAAAGTCTCATATTACATATCACATGCTCAAATTAAGAGTTGTGCACAAACAAAAAAAAGAGAGAGAGAGATTACTGATTATGGAAGCAAAGCTCACAGTGGTCTGAAGTATCTGATGCTTGGGCACCAGTGACACCAGTAGAGCAGCAACACACAGGCCAGTGCTATTTCACAGCAGCATGACCTCTGATGTCACCACTTTCCCCCAGTAGCAAGAACACTGAGCGTCTTGCTAAGGCAAAGCAGGCAATTGTGTTCAGCTGTGTCTCTAGTCATCGATGCAAAGACAGTACTCAGCACAACCTGTAAAGGACTATTTTGTTAATTTACAGGCTTGCAGGGAGGTTTTCAAATGGCTCAGGTAGCTCATGAAGGGCTGGGTTTGGGGGAGTGTAAATTTGGAGTCCACATAAATACATATTTATGTATGTGAATTTGTAATGAGATGAAGTCAAAGATGGTTAAAAATGTTAACTGGTAAATATCTCAGGATAGAGAGACTGAATTTCAAGTGAAATTTAATTATAGATAATGCTCAAATTCTTTTCTTTTTTTTTTTTTTGGCAGCACTGGGGTTTGAACTTAGGGTCTCACTTTTGCTAGGCAGGCACTCTTACCTCTTAAGCCACTCTTTCAGCCCTCAAATTATTTTCAATGAAATATATTACTTATGTTTTCCATCACAGATGGAAAAATGAGGCAGTGCAGGAAAAGGAAGCCAGGTGAGTAATATGCTGATTCCTCAGGAGTGCAGGACATCAGCCCCACTATAGGATTCGCACGCTTGGCGGCACTAAGAAGGATCAGAGGGGAACTGGGAGAGAGAAACCGGTGGGAAACAAGTGAATCCACGGTTTGCACAAAGACCTCCAGAACTAAACGACAGCCTGTCTCCTGGTTCTCACCACCACAGAAGGGTGGGACGCAGGGTAGCAATATCAACAGTATAGTACTTCACGCAATTAACTCATCTGGCCTCAATCTTAAGAAGAAAATGGCCTCTACTAAGACATCACAGGTCAGAACTTGAAGAGATAGCCAGAGATGAAATTTCTATTTTAGTTATGACTTTACAAAGCAGACTTTCTACAGTCTTGTTTTCAAATTCATGTGGAAGAGAGAGGAAGTGTGCTGTTACACTGTTATTCAAAAAGATACCTGCTTAGTTAGATTCAGTGCTATATATATATTTTTTTTTCGGTAGTATTGAGGTTTGAACTCAGGGCCTCACACTTGAGACACTCTGCCAGCCCCTGCATTAGTCTTTTAAATGGAGATTCCCAGTTCAAATTCAATAGTTATAGCCAAACATACACACCCACAATTTTAGGCAAAATTAATGCTATAATGAAGACTGATCTATCAAGGTCAGCTAATATTCTTTGGGAGAATGCAGAAGGTATCAAACACATGTTGCATACATATTCTAACGAGTTCTCTGAAAATGAAAAAAATAAATCAAAATTTAAAGAGGTTAAGTTTCAGTCACTGAGAAAAGTAAGTCAAATATAATGCTAATTAATAGAGGTGTTGAATGGTGTGCAATATTAAAGAACAAAGAAATTCTAATTGATTTGGTATAGTTTGAGCTAATTATCAAAATCAAAAAAGTTCAAACTTCCTTTTAAATTGAGTTTGTATATTACATAATATAATTTGTAACTGCAGCCTCTCTCAAAAGTATTCAAGTCTTGGACTCAAATTGCTAACTCTGTCCTACACGCAAATAACTCAGGGCACCCTACCCTTGGTGACTCCAGAGTGGGCTGTCCCATGTGGCCAGGAAGCCCAGCCTGGTACTGGAGTCAGAGCCTGAGTAACTCAAGCTCAGCTGCCCATTGACTCTGTGCCCTTGGAAAGCTGTGTTCTTTCTCTAGTGTCTTTGTGACACAGGCAGGACTGCTCTGAGTCAGCCCAGCGGCTGCAGAGACCCAGGAGACAATGTGCAAACAGCTGCTGTGCAGCAGAGAGACTGGCATGTCTACTTCACAGCTTTAGTTGACTTTTCTGTACCCCAGAGACAACATGGCCAGCAATGAGAAAAAGTAAATGTAAGGGCGTGGCTGAGCGACGATGCTGGGGAAGAAACAGGAAGGCCCTGACCTATGGACTCACAACCCAGGCAGAGGGAAAAATCAAAATGCTGGCATGTCAGAAATCAAGTCCTGCTATGTGTGAGCATGAGCAATACTAGAGCACACCTCACCAACTCAGCCTGGCCAAGTCTGCCCTGCCTGACACCAGGGTCCAGGCAGAACCACTGTCTCACAGCAGCTAATTTTGACTTGACCTGGTAATAATAGAGTCTGAGAAAAATTCAAATCTGATGCTGCTAATACTCATGACTAAATTACCTAACAGTACTGCTAAATTCTTTACAATTCCAAAAGCATTTTGTTTAGAAGGACATGAATAACCATTATTAAGACAAATTCTAAGGCTAGTTAGTAGTTACTGATAAACTATACCCAAAGGAGCAATATTTAGAGATTTTAGAGATGATAAAGGAGTAAATAAAAACACAGTAGTGTTTGGAGTCAGCAATGAAAATAATCAGCAGCACAGTAATAGAAAATAATAATTCTGTATGAAGTGGCAAGAAAATGCAATTTACAATCTCTGTACAATAGCAAGCAATCTATTACCTTTTGCGAGGAAAACAATTATGACAATGAAAATAGAATGCAGCTAGGATTGAACCAGACTGTAAAAACCTCTCAAAATGTTGAGAGAGAGGGGGAGAAAATGGATGATCTAGAAAACAATGCTGTATTTTTAAACCACAATAATAAGAAACCACTGCTTCCTATATAGGATCATAAACTAAAATATGGCTATGCACCAACCCTTTTGGACCCTTCTTAAAATGTTAGGTAAACTCACAGTGCTTCTAAGAATACAAGAGAATGATCTCCTTTCACTCTGCTGCCTTTTAGTACTCATTTTTCATTAACTCCATCTCTGAGTGTCCCTCTGGCATAAGGTGCAACGGCCTGGTGCACCGGGGTCAGAGCCCTGTCCACCCCCCTATCCTCCCATCCTATCTTTATCACTAACTGCCAAACCAAGAACCAGCCACTTAACTCACCAGGAGCATCGACTGTAAATGAATTCCTGTCCTGCTCAATTGCAAAGCTCAAATGAGGCACTACATAACCTTTACTTTGGGAACTACAGAATGACAAACAGGGGTAGAGCGTTAGTATCCCCCGAGAGAGCACTCACAAAAATCCTTACCACAGTGCAGGTTTCTACATGTACGTACATGACAGGCCAATGGAAAATAAAAATTTAAAATAATGACAATCTAGTCCTTTACTGAGCACCAACTACATTCTAGCCATTGAGCAGTTTTCCTACATGTCTCATTTTGTCTTTACAACAGCATTACGAGGCAAGAACAATTCCATTAATTTTCTCATTTTTATTTACTTGTTTATTTACTTACTTACTGGTGGTACTGGGTTTGAACTCAGGGACTTGTGCTTGCTAGGCAGGCACTCTACCACTTGAGCCACACACAGCCCTCTGCCCCTGCAGCCCTTTCTTACTTTAGCTTTTTTCCAGGTAGGGTCTCATTTTTGCCCAGGACTGGCCTTGGACCATAGGTGCATACCACTTGGCTGGACTTGTTGGATGAGATGGGGGTCTCATTAACTTTGCTCCTCCCGATCTCCACTTCCCATGTAGCTGGGATTACAGACATGCAGTGCATGAACCACCACACCTGGCATCTTTTTCAAGGGACACACCCTTTTTGCTTTAGGTACTTTTCAAATAAGGGCTCGCACTTATGCCCAGGCCAGCCTTTTACTCCTATTTATGCTTTCTGTGTAGCTGGGATAACGGGCACACACCACCACAACCTAGCTTTTTATTGGTTGAAATAATCTCACAAACTTCTTGCCTGGGCTGACCTATGTGTTTCCACCTCCCTAGTAGCTAGGATTATAGGTGTGAACCACCCTGCCTGGCCTCTTTTGTTGTTCTTATTTCAAGTAGTCAACTTCATCAGCTCAATCCTTATTTGAGGGCTGGCAGAGTGGCTCAAGTGGTAGAGTGCCTGCCTAGCAGAAAAACCCCAAAACTTATTTTGTGGTACTCATACCAAAAGTAAATTAAAAAAAAAAAAACAAATACTGTTTTGAAAGCTAAGATAACATTTTTCAGGGACTTTTAGATTAACCAAATGCCAATGAGATGCAGATGTAAAATGAGTGATAAATGAAAAATCTCACAATGAATAACAAAAGGTCAAAGGCAGGTTTATATCCTTTGCTTTTAACTATTGATTTAAAAAATATATAAAGTTTGGTGCAGCCATAAAATGTACCCCTTCAAACATAAATAAACTTACCTTTGGTTTTTTGATCAGCAGCCTGAAAAAAAAAATCACAAAGTCTTTAGGAACAATTGTGTAGGGAGTACATGCTTCTATCAAAATTTATAAGCAGAATGTTCATATGGGAAACTTGAAAACCAAGTTTTTCCCTGTTAATTTATTGCAATGGATTACTGGGAAAGATGTCTACATGCTACTGATTACGTGCCGACATTAAAGGAAAATAATCCATATGGAAGCTTGTTTGAGCTCTATGTTTTACTGTAGTCTAAAAGGTATATGGTTTTAACTATACGATACATTAAATCAGACAAGAAGAAAGAGAAATGGTATAACTTTGTATTTTACTACAAAATTCAAGTATGACTGTAAGGTTATAGTAGAACTTTCAACATTTACTAATAAGATGTGTAAGAGAATATTTGCCAGAATTGCAAAGATGATTTCTAGCTTTCTGCTAAGATCAGTTTAATGGCCTTTTTCTTATTTCTGAGACATGGTTGATCTGGATAGTCCATTTTAAGCAGAATGGCACCAACAATTAAAATCAAACTTGAGATGCAGTTGTAACCCTGTATTTATTTCACTAGCACAATATCCATTATTTGCTCATAATTACAGATTTCACACACTAATTTAAAACAGAAATCAGATGACACTTGGTGGTGTAATGGCTGCAATAATGCAAGGACACACAATCACAAGGACAGTGAAGTTACAACTCCAGCCAAACCTTTTTCTGAGCACCTTCTTTCTTTTTCTTTTCTTCCTGCTTTTTCTTTTTCTTTTCTTCCATCAAACGTTCCTCTTCTTGTGTTTCTTGTTCTTTCTCCCTATTAAATATAAAGAAAAATAGTACTAGGATGATGGCTATTTTTAAGTCAATCAAAAAATGAAAAAGCATTAGTGCAGAAAGTCTAAAGCCAGACAACGTCACATATGGGATGTAGGTGGCCTCTCTGAGAGGGAGTCAGAAGTACTTCCCTCTGCTCTACAGTAAGCTGACCTGGCAGTCAATTGTCTCATTCATCCACCTTGCATTTGCTGGGCACCAACCTATCATCAGGCACTGTTCTGGGAATATGGGTTCCTTCAGGCCAGTCCCAGACCAGTGTTTATCAAAGTGTTGGCTCAGGGACTGCATCAGCAGAATCACTAAAGGATACCTATTACAAATGTAGACTCCTGAATTCTACTCAGGCCCAACAAATCAGGATCTCTGGAGGTGATTCTTATGCACAGAACTACATGTTTGTTTGATAAATCCTCTTTTATTTTTTTTTTGTGGTAATCGGGCTTGAACTCAGGGCCTACAACTTGAGTCACTCCACCAGCCCGTTTTAGTGATGGGTATTTGTGAGATACAGTCTCGTGAACTACTTGCCTGGGCTGGCTTCAAACTGTGATCCTCCTGATCTCTGCCTGGCAGGGTCTCTCTATATAACCCAGGCAAACTTTGAACTTGTGATTCTTTTGCCTCAGCCACGAGTGCTGGGATTACAGTGTGCACCACGATGCCCAGCTCAACTGATTGTTACTGTTTTTGGTTGTTTTTTTAGCAGAGTCCTATAGACTTAATGAGCCACTGTAAAGACACACTGGTGCACAGCATGGAGGAACTCTGCCTGCAAAGTTTGCAGTACCCTATGAACTAATCTGGCTGGCATGGGGTAGTGTCAGTGATCATTTTATTGCCTGTCAGCTCCAAATTCACTCTTCAACACATGCTCTGTAGTAACTGACCGAGCTCCTTCAAGCACTTCTCCTTTCAGCGAACGTAACATGGACCTTCTCAGGAGATGACACTAGAGGACAGTGCAGGAGGAAGGGGCCCTCCTACTTTCAAGGCTGTTGCACTGTGGGTCAGCGTGTGGGTGCAAAGCCACTGGTGATGGCTCCAGCCATGGCTCCAGGACTTGCAGCTTTTAATCAACCTTGAGGCTCTGGCATAGTCTAGTGTCAGTGACCTGTGACACTCTCCATAGGCACTGACCTTAAGCCCTTCTGCTAGTCTGGTCTCCCACCCCCATATTTGTCTCTGGTGGCCCCTCAATCACATGCCCCTCTGGTCTGGGATACTGTGTGTTCTAGGCTTGCTGCAGTTACACCCCACTTCTCTGCACACTCACATGCCCACCAACAACACTCCCCAGGGATTTCACGGGGGAGGGGGTGTCTTCCTATGTGTACCCATGAAATTGGCTATAGGCTGCTTGATATGGCTCACCAGGGTCTTGCCTGTGCTCCTGCTGAAACAAGGGTGGCCCAGAATTGCTTCCTACTCTGCCTTCCAGTGGGCTGCAACTATACCTTCGATGAGTGTGCCAATCTTGGAGATGGGGCTTCCTTCCAAGCTGGTCCTTCCTTGGATACTCCCTCAGCCTAGGGTTCATATTGTTTTCTACAGTTACACTCTTTCTCTCTCTCTCTTTTTGACGGTACTAAGGTTTGAACTCAGGGCCTCACACTTGCTTGGTGGGTGCTCTACCATTTGACCCATGCTCCAGAACCCCTTTTTTGCTTTAATTATTTTCTGGATAAGATCCTGTGCATTTTTGCCTGGGGCAGGCCGTGGACCATGATCCTCCTACTTATGCCTCCCAAGCAGCTGGAATAATAGACACATGCTACCACACCAGATCATTTGTTGAGATGGGGTCTGGCTAACTTCTTATCAGGGCTGGCCATGAGCCTCAATCCTCTCAACTTCCACCTCCTGAGCAGCTGCGACTATAGGCATGTGGCACCATGCCTAGCTGCAGTTACTCTTTTATCATGGTTTATTTCTTATATTAAACTTTCCTTATTCATATCACTGAGTGTAGTTTTTATCTCCTGTTTGAACCTAGACTAATACAGGTGAGAAGGAATACTTAATAGATTAAGCAGGAGAAATGCCCCAAGCCTCAGCAAAACGTCATTACCATTGGGGAAATAGCTCAGTGGTAGGGTGCTTGCCTAGTATGTGCAAGGCCCTGGGTTTGACCCCCAGCACTGCCACCCTCCCCCATCATTATCCATCCATGAATGTTGCTTTTAATTTATTCATTCTGTGAACTTTTTTTTCTTGATGGTACTGGGGTTTGAACTCAGCTTCGCACTTGCTAAACAGGAAATTTACTGCTTGAGCCAAGCCCCCAGCCCTTTTTGCTCAGGTTATTTTGGAGATAGGGTCTCACTTTTGGGATGACAGGTACATGCCACCATGCCCAGCCTTTTCCCATTGGGATGGGTCTTACAAACTTTTTTTTATGCTCAGGCTGACCTAGAACTAAGATCCTCTTGATCTCAGCCTCTCCAGTAGCTTGGCATGACAGGCATGCTGTACCCATCCCAGGCTGTCCTTGAACTGCAGTCCTCCTGATCTCAGTCTCCCAAGTAGCTAGGATTATAGAGCCACTGGTGCCCAGTTTTTTTTTTTTTTTTTTTTGTAGTTTTTATGAATGTGTTTAATATACAACCTCATAGGTAAGGAATTTCAACCAGTATTGGGTTGAACATATTTAAATACAATCATAATAAAATAATTTAAGTTGATAAGGTTTGTATGAGGGTGCCTGAGAATATTCTTCTTTCAAAATGATGGCTTTTAGTTTTTGGCAGCCCATGAGAATTACCTGGGAAGCTTCAAAAACTTCCAAGGCCAAGGCTGCAAGACACCTGTCTGAAACCTCTGGGACAGGACTCAGGCGTCAGCAGTAGTTAATGCTTCCAGGGAACTCTAGGTTAGCCAAGGCTGAAAACTACTGCTTTTAAAGGAGGTCTGCAGATTTAAGAAGTTTGAAAATAATTGTTCATTACCTTGGACGACACTTTCCAGCACTGTTTTAATGGTACAAGGTGTAAAAAAACCCTGTACATACAACACTCTCCTCAGGTACAGGAAGCCTGGGAATGACCCATTGTGCTATAATCATCAAGCTTCAGTCACCCATCCTGGGAGAAAGTGAACTAATGAAAACCAGGCCAACAGTGGCTGCCCACTGTCATTGCCAGACTTTTTTAATCTACAGCTCAATGAGACCTTTAAATTATCTTCAGAGAGTAAATTTTGTAATTAGGCAGCTATAGGCTATGTTTTAAAGAAGTATTCAATAAATGAATAAAAATAACTTTTGCTTAATTCTATTCATCTGCAAATTAAACTAATTAGAACTAGCTGTTCCGTAGCAAGAGTTAAGATTTCACTGTAAGACACTAAGTGTTATAAATAAAAGGGTCCACCTAGTCACGAGATATTATCCTTTCCTGCCTGTGCTCATGTTTATATGACAAAACAGAATTAAGATGTTAGCCCTTTTAACTTGTTTGTTTGTTTGTTTTGTGGTACTGGGGTTTGAAGTCAGGGCCTTGCCCTTGCTAGGCAGGCACTCTACCACTTGAGTCACTCCCCAGCCCAGATGCTAGCTCTTTAATAAAGTTCTAGCTAATATCCCCATAGTTAGCAGCAATCACTTCTACCTCTATTACTACACAACTTCTGCCATTTGCATTAACAACTTAAAAAAATTGACATCTAATCACATTTTCACTTTATAAATAATACATGCTTATGAAAAAAATCACACAAAGCACAAAAAGATGTACTATGCAAAGGAAGACTCCTTTTCCACAGGCCTTCTCCTCAGAAACAACACGAGGTAACAATTTCTTACACATCTTGAGAATCTGAGGCTGAGGCAGAAGCATCAATAGTTTGAAGCCAGTCTGGGCAATTTAGCAAGACCCAGTGTCAAAAAACAAAACAAAACAAAGAACAAACCTCTCTCTATATGGCTACATGACTATGTAACAAAAAAGTGGGCATACCACTCACTGTCTTCCGCACTGCGCCGCTTTTACTCAGTGGTCCACTCTAATACATACCAGGAGAAGGCTCAGTTCCTTCTCACCTCTGCATGACACCCATAGGTTGCTATATCTTTCTTTTTTTGTTGTTTTTCTTCATGATTTTATTTTAGCAGTATTACTTTTATAATTATTGAGCATTTAAATAATCTTTTTGTTGTTGTTTTTGAGACAAGGTCTCTATAGCCCAGGCTGGCCTCGAACTCACGATCTACCTCTTGAATGCTGGGTTATACCAGGCCCAGCTAAACTGCTATTTCTTGGCTTATCAATTTGAGACTGTTATAGTTTAGTTTCTACATCACTTCTTTCAGTTAAATGGATAAGTGGCATCTGCTTTATATGTAAATATTTGCCACAGAGCTATGTGGTACAATGTGATCGGTTTTTGAGTGTCTGTAACTGTTTTAGAGTTTCTGTTTTTCTTGGATTCTTGCTCTATGTTTGTGTTTTTAATATTTCCATTCCCCTCACCTGTCCTCTTGAACTCCCTTTTCAGAACCTTCTATCCTGCTCCATCACAGCTAGGAACAATTCCTTGCTAGAACTCTGACACCTCTCTATAATTTATTTTTTTGGTGGTACTGAGGTTTGAACTCAGGGCCTCACGTTTGTTAGGCAGGCACTCTACCACTTGAGCCACTCCACCAGCTCTTATAATTTTTAATTGTGCTAAAGTATACACTATATACAAATTTTCATTTTAAGAGTTTCTAAGTATACAATTCAGTAGTGTTATATTCACATTGTTGTGCAATCAGAACTCGTTACCTTGCAGGACTGAACTATTCCTATGAAACAGCCCTATTTCAATCCTGTCTCTGTGACTGTGAGTACAGCAGATGCGTCCTTTGGTTTTAATCTGTGTTCCCTAAGGCTGTCCCTCATCCATTTGTATATCTTTTCT